ATATATATATATATATATATATATATATATATATATATATATAAAACTGACAGTAAGTACACAAAAATATAAAATGCAAGGTTCATTTTTTTAATTGTTCAGTTATTGTTAATTTCTGTAATAACATTATTAACATGAATTTTCCCAATTTCATGGGTTATAGCATGCAAATTTCTAATTGGAAAGACCAGGCTCTGCTCCCAAAACAAGTAGAAAAATCAGTGACAGTATTTTACAACTGAATTTACAAACTACTTGAGATATGACACTAAACAAATTTTAATTTGCTTTAGGTCAAAACTGTGAATGTTAACATTTTTTTTTACCTGAAAATATATTACAGGTAGATACCTCTCCACATCATTGCCAAGATGATTCTTATGCATGCCACAAGACTAGAATGAAACTTCTACCCTTACACATGTTAATGTGAACTGTGACAGTTTGTGATCTAATACTAGACTATAGCTCTCTACCAATAGGAGGAGTGTGACATATCATGAGTACTAGCATTTCAACAAAAGCTCATTCTTGACAAGACAAAATATGAACACTGGAAATGGGGAGGAAGGGTGGGAGATTCTGTGAAGAGGTATCTATTTGAATAAATTATCAAGTAAGGAAAACATTAACTACAGAAATGATACCATTCTCTCCACAGAAACATGAGCTAAAATCCCATCTTGATAAGATGGTGGAAGGGACATTGTAGATTAGCAAAATAAAGATGCACTAAGAAGACCATCACTCAGTGAGAGACTACATCCTTCTAATGCAGGTAATATTCACCATCCAATAGAAATGGAGCAGCCAAGGAAATCATGGTTGTGTCAGGCAGGACGGAGCAATTAGAAGGACTTGACATGGAGTGGCATGAATGATTGAAATAACCCTATGAAGAAGATAGATGGGAGGATAAACATACAAATATTTGTTGGTCCAATCTTGACAGAACAAGAGGATGAGAAACTCTAGATATAAGCAATGGTAACTTGGTACTGGGGGACTTGGTAAATGCAACCTGGTGATTAGTACACCACTTAAGCATAGCCACTGGAAAACAAGAGGTTAAAGAAAATGCTCTGTCGGGATGGAAAAGACGATCCACAACAAGACTGAATGCACCTTGAGCATGACACACAAGGATATGAATACCAAGCATGTGGGCCCAAAAAAGGAGATCCAAGGTTCAACCACAATTGGAACGAAAACAGGTGCAGCCTTGGTGATTAATATAAGCCACCACAGTAGAACTGTCAAAATGGATGATGACCACATGATTCCTGAAAAGATGAAGGAAATGATCCAAAGCACAATGTACAGCCAGAAGATCCAGGATGTTTAAATGGTAGGGTTTGAAATCAGTGGTGGCCAGGGAGACAATGGCAGCAGGCCTGTAAAAAGTGTCTGCTAGGTAGTCCATGTGGCCCCTTA